TCTTAATGGCATCTCTGGTGGCTGGTGAGTGTGGCATATACGCTCTCATCTATGAAAGGACTGTGCTTGCTGGTGACAGAGTGACGTCCCAGACTAGATGCTCACCTCACCAGCAGATGGCGTCTGCCGTAACATCTGGATGTGGCTCAGCGGACCACAGCGATGCCTGTATTGATCTTAAAGGTTAAACCTGTCAAGAAAAGCATCTGCTTAATCATAACCTGTGGTGACACTAATTACAGTGTTAAAAAATAAATTAATGTAATATTACGTATTCTATAAAGCATCCATATTTATACTGGAACAGATGACTGATTTAACTAGTTAACATAATAAGTGTCCATATCTTGAGGCAATAACGCATTTCCATATGTGCCATTACAGAATAACCCCCCCCCCACACACACACACACATATACCTCCCATCTGCTTAGTGCCACAAGCCAGCAGGTCCAAGTGCCGAGATGTCAATTCTAAGGTCAAAGGTCACACAGCCAGCTGCAAATCCCAAGCAATCCTCTCAAACATTGCCCCAACCAATGGGAGCACACTTAGGCAGGCAAGGGCCAATCAGAAGCCCAGCAGGGTCAGGAGTCATAGGGCAAAAGCTATGCCCTGCGCAGGCGGGGTGGGGGGATGTATACATGGGCTGGAAATTTCACATCTTCTGCATTTGGGGAGAACATTCCTACTTGGTGCGACACACATGTTCATGTAACGTTCACATAACACTCATATAACGCTTCGTCCCCCACAATGGGCACAGCCCCATCATCTCGTAGATCACAACGAAAAAAAAACACACTAAATTATTGTGAGTTCCCCCCCCCCCAGCCCGGTTCACCCGATACCCGCGCAGCGCAGACGGCCGCCGTCACCCAGCCAGCCAGCCAACCGACAGACCATCTGCAGGGGATTAGCGCAGCGCTAGCGCGGGGGGGCCAAGCCGGCGCGGCTCCCCCCCGAGCTCCTGGAGCACTGGTGCCTTGCGTATGTGCGCCTGCACGTGTGTGTGAGCACAGCTGCCCGATCCGTCACGGATTACCAACTGCGGCGCACATGCATCCATGCTGCCCATGTGTAATGGCGGCGCATCACGGATGGGGGTTTGCATCACAGGTGTCAGTATTCCTCGGCTTAAATGATCCGTGATGGTGATGGATACCAGATCGGGTCTGTCAGCAGCAGCACAGTCAGCCACTTTGTGCTGGAAGACAGCTGATACTGACACACACACAGACACACACACACACAGTTTGTATTCATACCTCTGAGGGGACCATCCATTCCCTAATCCAAACAATGACAACCTTAACCTTAAGTAACAAATCAATACAAGATTTTTGGCATGTTTAGTTTTTCCATTGTAGTCACAGATTTTGAGTTTCCCCTTATGGAAACTGAAAAAATGGTCCCCACAATGTAATACATATATGACCGCCCCCCCTCCACCCCCCCAAACACACACACTGCCTACCCAAAGGTACATAATGACTTACACACTTTCTTTGGGTGTGAATACCGAATACCCCTACACCTAACCCTTCTTCAGACAGCTGTGCCTCAGACACTGATATATATTCACTGGACTTGCTCCCCCCATTTTTTATATCAGGCTCTCTAATGAAAGCACTGGTCCTTTTCATTCTGGCTGAGGCCAGATAATGAATACTTCGAACCCCCCCCCCATTCCATTACAGGCCTGCTGGGTGCTGGAGGAGGACGAGTCGCCGTCGGGCTCGATATCAAAAGGCTCGGCTGCTGCGGGTCAAGGCCTCACCTCCACGCTCACCTCGCCTCCCCGCTGTTCCTGCCGGACAGGACCGCCGCTGCTCACGTACCATAAAGGACAGCCAAGCGCAATGGGCAACAGCGCCCCCTCTGGCTCGCGAGCGATCAACCGAGACGAAGCAAGGCTCCAGTCAGACAGGAGGGTCTTCTTCAGAGTTTATTTCCTCAGCACAGGTGAGAAACCCCAAACACAGCTCAGTTAAGCTTATTGGTAACCATCAGCAGTAACGAGGACGACCGTCGTAACAATACTACTAAAATAGGTTGGTTCGGTTTCTCCTTTGCAGTTGTTACTAAAACATTCAACATTATGATCAACTTGTCAGAGACTAAAACGTTTTGCCAAGTTAAAATTCTGAACACTGCAAACCAGGCAGTGATCTTAAAATGGACAGGGGATGGGGGTAGGATGTGGGGGGGCAGGTAAGGGTCACAATACAATATAACAAAACTCCTCTCCTGCCGTACATGATGACTACACTAAATCATCCAGCAGGTTGGTGGATGCTGAACCGCAAACCCAGGAATAACAGGGTTAATTATTGAGCGGGAATTTAACGAGCTTGATGATATTGGCAGACATGAAAATCTGCATGGCTCCAGGCCAGTCTCGCCGCTTGCGTGAGTAACTCGGGGTCTCCAGAGACCATTTATCGGAAAAGAGGACGTCCAATTGGAATGGGGAATATTATACACTTGATTAAAAAGTCTTCATTTGACAGAAAATCAGAAACATTGTCTAAGTGACAAGTGAGAAACCTTAAACAGCCACTGGATCCTACGTAGTGAGGACAACACTGGGAATAAAGAAAATCATCGGCTGAGGTGTGCAAACAGGAGCGTCCAATCAGGAGGCCGCAGCTCAGAGAGTCTGGACCAGCACGGGGAAAAGCAGGGATAAGTGTTCTGCGCCCTTGATGGGCAGCTTGTGAGTGGTGTAATAATGGACCACCTCCGGGATGGTGTCAAAGGGCGGGCTGTTCTGGCCCAGGATGTGCTTCCCCTCTTTGGACACGGTGAACTTCATGTGCATGAAGCCTTGGCAGCTTCTGCGGGAAAGAGGAAGGGGGGGGGAGGGGGGAGAGATTACACACATCACACATGTGGGACCGGTGAGTCACATGTCACAAGCGCTGAAGGAAATGGAGCGACTGCAGTGACAGGGACAGCGCCGCCCCTTTAAGAAGACAAGCTCCGCCCTGGGGTATTTCTAATTATAGTAACAGAGGGAGACGGATGGCTCTAATTGGCTGACTGCTGTGACTTATTACGTGGAGCAGGGCCAACGTGGAATAAAAATTAATTCAGCACCTAATTTCAGGTTTCATTTCCAAACTGAAAAATCCGACTTAGCAGACGAAGCACTCTGAGGGAACCTCGTGTATTTATAATGATATAGTAACTACACGTATCGCCCCCTGCTGGCAATCTCATTTGATTCAGCCAATTTTCCCTCCCAAGATGTAGTTCAGCAGTACAAGGTAATCTTGTGAGCATCTGGTTTTGTGTGTATGTGCGGCCGTGTTGCGCCAAAAGCCAGACACAAAGGCATCGCATTAACTGCGCTTCCCGCCCCCCCCCCCCCCCCCCCCCCCCCGCCCGGTCTCGCTCATGTCTTTTCACCGCTGCTCGAGAGCACTTTAGCCATCCTGCTAACGTTAAAATGTCACATAGGGGACCCCTGGAATTAAATTAGTTCCAAATCCATTAGCGCTGATTGGAGCAGCGGGGATACGGCGGCAGAACCGCCACCGAGGGTGATTAATATTCATGGAAGGCCGGGTCGCACACTCGACTGCACGTTACCTGCCGGAGCGGGGGGGGCGCCAGCTCTCCGCTCTAATTAGGAGGATGGAATAGGTGCTGTGGTGCTGAAGAAAGGGGACAGCTGTTCCATTGAGGGGAGGGGGGCTTTTAGGCAGCATCAGACGGTGCCGAAGCGTGTATTTAGCACAACCCTGCCGGCTTTACGGCGCGTATAAAATTGGCGGCTCCACCAGGGCGCAGCGCTTTGAAATGCAATTTGACGCAATTTAAACTTCAGTTATGGACAGCGCGCTCCGTTTGATTTCCGATTGGACGCGGTGCTGGGAGGAAAGGGAGTGGATGGGGAGGCAGACCGCGCAGGGGGGGGTGGAAGGTACCTGAGAGAGAGGGAGTAGTCAGAGCGGCCCGTTTGGCTGGTCCTCACCAAGTAGCTGCACTCCTTACACAAGGTGAGCAGGGACTCTGCTTCTGAGCGGGACAGGCTGCCGTGGTACCACCTGACACACACACACACACACACACACACACGTTTGTATCCATATCTTTGTGGGGACCATCCATTCATTTATATGGGGAAAACCCCTAATCCCAACAATGACGACCTTAACTCCTACCCAGTCGTAACCTTATTTATCCATAAGTAACCAAATGAAATACAAGACTTCTGGCATTTTTAGATTTTTGATAGCAATCACAGGTCTTTATAAAATTGAGTTTCCCCTTGTGGGGACAGAAAAAATGGTCCGCACATCAAAATAACAGGTTATTATCATATAAATATATACAAACCACCACACACACACACACACACACACGCACACACACACACACACACGCACACACGGAGAGCGCCTCTGTGGATGACAGCTGACAGCTGCATCTGACACACAGACATACAGCAAGAATCACAATTCAGTATCTACATTCTAATAATACATTTCTGCACACTCGTTAACTGCCTTGGGGCAACTAAGCAGTGAAAGGCACTATATAAAATTGAACAAAAGCAGCCAGCGCAGCTTAATACAGCTCAGGACGACGTGGGACAATCCTATAGTTCTGCTTTTTGGCGAAGAATTTTTATGTATGTGAAAATAACACATTTCAAAAGGCTAGACAATGACCGTGATAATTCACTCAAGTTCAGGGCGACAAATGAATGAAGAGCAGAAGCGGGGGGGAGTCACACCGGGAGGTGAAACATTTATCATACCCTGAGTGCAGCCATTACCCTGCTGCTACATCCATCAGACGCTCTCGGGGTGACGGACGTCCATGGTGAACCAGAGGCCCTGCAGGATTAAAAGTTGCCCCTATGCGCATGGCGGCAGGCGGAGAGTACCTACACCTGCTTCTCCAAGGGCAGGGTGGGGTCCACTCTCTCCCCCAGCATGGCGTGGCCGTCGGCGGGCTTCCGGTGCCTGGCGGCGCCCAGTCTGGCCTGGTGGAGGCGCTCCGAGGGGAACGGGGAGCGTTCCCAGTCTGCAGCCTCGAACTGCACTGTAGGCGGAGAAAGGGGAGGGACTTAAGGGCCGGAAAATGGAATGTCTACAATTCTGTCCCAATCTAGCTATTTCTGTGGACAGCACTGGGGAGGGAACTGCTGTCAGGCCTGGCAGTCCGTGTCATAACGCTGAGGATCCGGCAGAGGAAGAGCGAGTGACCGCTGCGCTAAGGATTCTGGGAGGTCAGGTGGACCAAAGCCTGGAGTCGGACTCTGCTGGGCCCCATGACTCATGGCGACGCTTCACTTTGAAGCACGCAGGGAGACGAGTGGTGTCATGGGTGGGTGGGGGGGCGGGGCGCCTGGCTCTCCATGGGAAGGGGAGGTCGCAGAAGGTCAGCAAATCTCTTTAATCACTAGTGAGGGGAGCGGTCTCAATATCGGGGTGGGGGGTGGGGGCTTAGAAAGGACTAATAAAAAGGAACGTATAGAGAAGTACCAGTGCTATAAAAACGATGATGGGAAGGGGAGGAAGAAACAAAGCAGCAGCCGGACAAGAGGAGAGGGGCTGCGGTGTTAGCGGTTAGCGGTCGCCAGACGAACAAGGGGGCCTTCTTTGGGATTTAAATGGCCACAATCATGCAGTGAAGTCTCGGCTGAACACACACTCTGCCCCCCCTTGCAGTCACTCCCAGAGCCCGGGGGGGACAACAGACGAGGCACAAAAAAAAAAAGAGAGAAAAAAAACACCCCATTAAGGGAACAACTGACGTCTTTATGAACTGACATATCCGCCTTGCCCCCCGCCCGGGAGATGAAAGGGAGCAGTGTGGCCGCTTTAAAAAGGAAACAGCCCCTACATGCCCCCCCCCACTTAATTATTGAACAAGCCGGGCCGGGCCGGCGCTGCCGCTCATTCTCTGTGAATTATTGATGCGCGGCGCCTCACAATGGGCCCATCTGGAGCCCGACGGACAGACAGAACCTGCGATTACACAGCGAGGCAGCCCCACTCGACCCCTCGCCCGCGGGACCGGGATGGGCCGCGGGGGGGGGGGGGGGGGGGGGGCCCTTGAGGGGCCCCTAAAAGGGGTGGGGGGGGGCGGGGGGGGGGGGGGGGGGGGGGGGGGGGGGGGGGGGGGAGCTGGGACCTAGAGCAGCCCCTAGAAGAGAAGGTGTGAGGCGTGCGGGGGTGGGGGGCGAGCGGAGGGGCCTCCGGGCCAGGCGGAGAGCAGACACCCAGTGGGGGTTCCTGAAGAGCTTTTTAAATCTCACACATGCAGCACTCAACAGGGGCTGCGTCCCCCTCCCACAAACGGGCATGATGGGCCACTGCTACTCTGAGGAGGGGGGCAACTCAAGGCAGAGTTGTTTCAGAGAGTAAAATATTATTATTATTATTATTATTATTATACTAATAATAATAATAATAATTTCCAACCAGCGCGCAAATTCCCCTGCATTCCTGGTCCAGTGGCAGATCCTCATGCCACAGGCTACTCGGCTCGACCCCCCCTCCCCCAGCCGCTCGTTTGTAAGAGACTCTCGGCTCTGTCCCCATCCCACGCCTGTCAGCAGTAACAAAGGTGGGATGCCCTCCGCCCCATCACAGCCACCTTCTGACCCTGCGGCTCTGTAAACACAGCGTCTGTATACGCCGCGTCACATCTGGCCTCTTGGCGAGTTTGGCCACATTTACCCCCCATAACAAATAACCTGCGTGTGCGTGAAAGATGAAAGTGCAGCAGCAGAGAGAGACAGACAGACAGACAGACAGACACGTTTTAATTAATGTCCCTGCCACTGACACTCAGGAACGGTGCCTCATAAACACTAATACATAAAATATATTTAAAAAATTTAATTTTAGGTTTTTTACACTAATGTATCTAAAATATTTAATTCAGGCTCCAAATAGAGTGAAAATACTGCGATTTATACGCGACTCACGACGGCAGCAGCACTAGAAGACAAACAGAATTAATGACATTATTTACATTTTATGGCATTTTCAGGGACACCATGTTCCGGTCACACTAATTACCCCACGACTCTCTACCGCGCGAGTCGTGACGTCGTCTGTTAACGGGATGCAATTAACACCTCTGGTTAGCGGCGCGGCGCGGAGACGCGGGACACGCAGGGCCTCCCATCGCAACCCCGGCCCGTGGCAGCGGCAGGCCAGTGCCGGCGCGTTAGCGGCGCGGAGACGCGGGACACGCAGGGCCTCCCATCGCAACCCCGGCCCGTGGCAGCGGCAGGCCAGCGCCGGCACGTTAGCGGCGCGGAGAAGCGGGACACGCAGGGCCTCCCATCGCAACCCCGGCCCGTGGCAGCGGCAGAGATGCAACGCAACTCCGCTCCAAGCTTCCGGCCTCAACCCTCAGTCCATGAGAACCATAACATCATAAACCCCCATCGTCAGATTCTGCCTCCCTCCCTGATTTTTTTCTCCCCCTCTTCACCGAAGTGAGACATACACCCCCCCAACACCTCCCTCAGTCTGCTTTGACCCCAACACACACACACACACACACTGTGTGCGAGTGAGTGAGTGAGACCAAGTTTTATTAATGTCTGTGCTTCTGCCACAAAACTAATGAATCTGTGCTGGGGGGGCACCCCTGGTGGAAAGAGAAATTGAGAGAAAAGCCAGCCGGCCCTGAGGGACCAGCGAGCTGCATGCTGGCTGGGGGGGGGGGGCGCGGGCAGCCTCCCCCACAGGTTACTGCGCACACACAAACACAAACGGCCAGACACTTCGGCAGCTGGGCAGACCGCAAACAAGCGACCAGGAGATACTGCTTTTTATTTCACGGCTACTTAAGATGGGAGGCTTTCCGAGCAGCCAACACTGCAGCCTTTGCAGTTGCATCCGACTTGTGATGATCTCAGCAGTTTCAGCAGGTCCTGCTCACCGGGACCTGGTGCGAAAATGCTGATCGTTCCGAGGGCCCCTTCCCAGAATTCCCAGACACGCGGCAGACGAAACAAACAGCGCAAACCATGTGAACACTTCCTACCAGACAGAGTCCTATGATACTGATGCATGAACCAGCAGTAACCAAAAATGCCTCAGTTGGCCTGAGCAACCCACAGACACACACACACACACAGACACACACAAACCCACACACACACAGTATAGTATTTATTGTCCTTGATTGTTTTACTTTACTTCAATATTAATTCAAATACAGGAACTCGTGGCTATAGGTGGAAATTAGCAGGAGAACACTTTAAACTGGATTTGAATAAGCACTTATTTACACAGCGTGTAGTTAGAGTATGGAATAGTCTCCCTGTTAGTGTAGCGGAAGCTAAAACCTTGGGTTCCTTTAAATCTGAGATTTTAACAACTCTGAGCTATTAGCTGAATTCTCCCCAAATGAGCTTGATGGGCCGAATGGTCTCCTCTCGTTTGTAAATTTCTTACGTTCTTAAGAACATTCCTTGTATCAAAGTTCCAGGTGATAAACAATGTCTCTTTGGGGAAAAAAAAACATTGTTTAAAGATCAGCGTTCAAACCAGGGCCGCGTATCTGACAGGAGGGGCACTGTCTGGCGATGGTTAACGCTGAACAGGGCAGCGGAGAGGACGGGTGAGAGGCAGCTGGTGATAAGGGGGAGAGGACCCTGTACTCTCCCCGAGGAGGTGGGGGCTTATCTGCACGTGTGTGTAAAATCAGCGGTGGGGGTCGGGGTGGGTGTCTATCACCGCTGGAAAGATGAAGCTGTGAAGATGGGAGTCAGCATCCGCGTCAGCGTGAGAGTGATCGCACCCGAGGGGAGGGGCATACCCACAATCCCCCTGCCTGCTGGTGTCACCTCTGTGGTGACCTGGGCCATCCCGCTGCTGTCCTGTTTA